AATTGTTTGCAAGTTGGAGACTAGCTTGGGCTACAAAGTGAGTCCAAGGCCAGCCTGAACTGCATAACAAGGCCTTGTCACAAAAAGACCAAACAAACAAAAAAACAAAAATCAAACAGATAAAAAAATTCTCTTTGGGAAAAACATATACAAGTATCCATTCAGGAAATTAACATTAATATTGAAAAAACTTTTCTTACCAAGAGACCTTATTGAATGCTGACAGTGTCTTCTTTTCTTTCTTTTCTTTCTTTTCTTTTTTTTTTTTCTGGTTCAGGATGCAGATCACCAGTTAGACTCAGTCCTCCTGTCTCTTAGTGCCCTTGAGTCTCAGCGTCTCTTTGTCCTTTATGACCTTGACAGTTTTGCAAAGCCTGAGCTTATCACTGCTTTCCACAGTGTTCCTTAATTTGGGAACCTGGAGAGACGTTTCTTCATGACTAGAGTCAGGTCTTGCATTTCTGACAGAAATACAACAGGATATCATATTCTGCTTGACATACTATATCAGGAGCGACATGATGGGCATTTGTGTAACTCAGGTGATGAGTATTAGCTTTGATCCCTTGGCTAAGATATCCGTCTGGTTTCTCCACCTCAAAAAACCTATTTTTTATTTGCATTAAAAATTATTTAATGCAGAGACATTTTTAGAAAATTTCAGTATCTTGTTTGTTCATATAATTTTATTCTTCTTTTAAACGTAAGTATTCACTTATGCTTTTGACCTGAACTGGTTACTGTTGTGATATTGTATATACTTGGTGTTTATAACATAGCATTATAGAAAACACAGGCATCGTAGAACTGTTACAAAATTGAAGCTAATTAACACTTCCCTCATCTAACATAGTTGCTTACCTTTTGTCAAAAAAGCAGCTAATATCTTATTTAACAATTCCCTACTATGAGGCAATTTTATCAACTATGTAGCTTCGTGTTGTATAATATTTCTCTAGATTTTCTTATTTTACATATCTGCTACACAGCGATTTTGCCCTTCTTAGTGTATTCATTTGTTTGTGTTAACATGACTTCATCCTATGAGTTGCGGTCAGTTGGTATCATCATTTTGTTGTTCCAAATTCCCTCAGCATAGCCAGGGACCACTTCTTTCTGGTTCCTGTGTTCTTTTGCTGTCCCCCATCATTTTTTCCAGCCATTTAATGTTTTCTGGCACCATAAAATATTCTACCTCATCTCATTCTTTCCCTGTCTGTTCCCTGGGGTCAGCCATTCTCCAAGAAGCCCTGACTACCCCTTTATAGTGTTGGGGAGTAGAATTTAGCAAGGAAGCTTGGCGCTCAGGTGTGCTCATGGATAGTGGGGTCTCGTTGATTTTCAGTCTCTCAGTGATAGAGCAAGGGAGGTCTGTGTGCCTGTTTATACACACACTGTATCTATTTCTATGTGTTTTAGTTTGTTCATTCAATCCTGTGCATTCATGGTATGTCACCAAATCCTGTAACAAATCCTCGAAGCTGTTCCTTCTGCCTAAAATACTCTGAGGTCCTTAAATGATTTTTAATTGTCATTATCCCCAGCAACACTTCACTTTGGAATGCATTTTTTTTCTGAGAGGAAAATATATTTCTTAGTCCACTGAGTTTTGTCTGTTTATTTAACCAGCTATTCATTACAAACAAATCACCAGCACATAAATATAAACAAAAAAATTACAAAATGGCAGCTTAACATTTTGCCTTACATTATCTCCAGTTATTGTCTGAAGATAAGGGAGGGGGACTGAATTTTCCTCTGATATTTCAACCATACATCACATTAGGACTCTTTTGCCTTCTGTGCTGCATTTAGTAGCAAAATGTAGGATTTGATCAGAATTGGTGTAATGGTTTCAATCGTGTTTATTTCTTTTTCTCATAATTAATTTTGAAAATAATTATTTTACTACTAGGAATGCTCTATAGCTATACTGAATCTCACAAATACCATTATCATCACTCTATTACATGATGTTTCATAATAATTGCCCTTAATCTGCATTTTCTACATGTACATTCATTGTTACTCATGGTCGCCTCTGATCCACCCATACCCTCCCAAAAAAGACAAGGAGGAGGAGGAGAGGGGAAGGAAGAGTAGAAAGATAAAGAATAAATTCTCTGAAAGCTTTTGGTTGGGTCTTATTACCTCGTGGTATGACTTGCTAAGAAAAAAGTAAAAGCTCTCTCCTTCCACAGGCACACATAATGAGTGTATGAAGAAAAGTGTATGAAGAAAATTCAACTCATTTTATAACTTGGCTATTTAAAGAAAAAGAAATAGGCTTTCCTGAGTTTCTGACTTAACATTAAAGTACTGGACTTCGTTCTGAATATTTTGAATATTTATGGTGCTTGATGTTTGGACTTTTTAAAAGGTCACTTGAAAATGAAGTCACTTTCATTTTAAAGTAGAAGGTGAACATGAAAAAGGAAAAGCTTTTAATGAAACCCATGATGTCGGTTCTCTTGCAAAAGGTCTTGGTTTCCTGTAGTAATTGTATTGCTTAATGGCTTTCCTTTTGTGCAGTGATTGTGTCTTGACATATGAAAGTATTTCAGCTCAGGGATTAGGAGAAGCCGGTAGCGCTTAGCAATCTTAGTTACCTGGCACTTTTGTTTCAGCCCAGCTGACTATGGTAGATGAAACATGTCAGCAGTATCCATACACAATACATAGCATGCATGACTATCTTAGTTATTTTACTTGCTAAAGATAAAACACCAGTGTAACTTGAATTAAGAGCAATTAAGGACATCATTTTAAGAATTCAGGTGTGACGATAGGGAAAGCACATACGCTGGGCATTGTGAGAATTCTGGGCTTCAGGACCAGGACCATTTTCTTGGCCTCTTTCTATCTTGTATAGTGTGTGAGTTTTGCTATAGGAAATACAAGTCCTTCAAGACGACCCATGGTGAAAGAAGCATTTGGTCAAATTAGTCTGAAAAATGGTCCACGCTACATCTACTGACTCTTAGGATTTCTCAGTATGCTTTTAAAACTTAAAGTCCATGGGAAGGTCTCTAGAAAAGAAATCTGTTTAACCTCTTTTAAAAAAAAATACTACTTTTTTTTTTTTTTTTCCATCAGGAATTGAACACAGGAATTTGCAGTTGCCAGATAGGCATTTCGTCACACAGCTATATTCCTGGCCCGTGTTTAACTTCTTTAACCCCATGATTTTTAAACTCATATGACCATTGTTTTTGCAAAATGTCACTTTAGAAAAACCACTTGGGAAATAAGGAATTAAATTTAATTGGATTCTTGAAGTTAGACTGCATAATGTTTAAATAGAATGAATGAGAACTTATTAAGCAACTTACTTCAAGGTCTCACTCTGTCTTGAGATACTTGGTCCAGTGTATTTTTTTACTGCTTATATTTGTGAATCTCAGCAGAGGAACTCTTCTCTCAAGGTTGTTTACTTTCTACTACACCCACAGTCCAACTTCCTAAAGGAATGATAGGTTAGGTCATTGGTTCTCACCATAGTCAGCCTGCTTTCACAAATGACTCCTCAGTTATAGTTCAGAATGTACCCTTTCTTACTGCAAAAGACAGATAGCTGCAGCCTTTTCTGGCTGTAAGTACATTGGTTCCAAACCTTGTCAAGGTTTTTGACATTTTGTTAGCAGAATTCTTAATGGTGTCACTTTATTCTTTGAATCCAAACAAAGTAAGTGCTAGTTAAGTTTGTCACAATGTTCATCCATTCATTTCTTCATGTTTTGGGGCAACTAAAAGGAGATGAAGTGTAAAATGTTCTGGGGCTAGGCTTGAAGCTCCTAGATAAAAAGACAACTCATCACTGAAGACTTGAGAGAAACTAAATCTTCTGAGAGCAGGTCTTCTGGGAAACTGAGACGATGCAAGTGTGAAGAGGGTGGTTAACTCTCAGACATGCAAATGGTGAGAGACAAATGTCAAGAGTATAAACTTCAGTGATTTCTACCAACCAGAATCACATGTTTTCATAGTGAGTTCCAGCACCCTGCTCCAAGAATAAGTAGAAGGAATAGCAAGAGCAGTAACACTATTATGTCACTTATCCATGAACCCAGGCCAGCTGTTGTATTAAATGTTTTTGAGGTAGAGTTTTATATATGAAACGCGGCCATTTGTTGAATGGATGAATGTATAAATAAAGTTTGATTTGTTTTTGTGCCTAAAGGGGGAAGACCTTTGGGTACTCTGTAGACACGAAAGGTAATGAGAAACATCTTGCCTCAAAGGATTTTATAATATAGAGAGAAGATAGGGCAGGCAGGTAGAAAGCTGGCATGTGTGAAGGTTTAGAAATAAGGGAAAATTGTATGCATGCATCAGATTGGCTTGTCCTGATTCTAGCCTGTGGACTACAGCCATGTATTTCATGCTCTCTAAGAATCAGCAGAAACAAAGCTGTGTTCTCCACGGTAGAGCAAGGATGCAGGTCTCATCGAAACCTCTTGATCAGTGCACATCTGTTAACATACCAAGTCCAAGTAAATGATCATATCACAACATAAGGGAATATACTCTTCACAAGGATGAGTATGCTCTTCAGAGAGAGGAAGTAGAAAGCCTGAATTTTTGCTGAAAGACATATAATCTGGGGGTGGAGAGCAAAGGCAGGAGAGAAAGGGGATTTTGAAATAAGAGAAAAAGAGAGAGATAGATATAGTGCTCTGAGTGCTTATATTCAAAAGAGGAAGATTGTGCGGCTGGTGATGTCTCAAGATAACATGTCATAGACAATGACAACAGCTGTCATGCTGATATTTTGTAAGGTAGTAGGGCAGTATTACCGAGTAAGGCAGTCTACTCTCCCAATAGCTTTTGCATGCACATATTTGTAAATGTGATAGTTTGAAGGAGTCACGACACTTTTGAATACTGAGAAGATTATCCCTACTACTTAATATGCTCAAGGGAACTTATTTTCAGACATTAGGTGGGGCACAATATTTACCTGCACAGTTAACAAGCAACTTGCGAACACAAGCAGTCAGTTGGGTTGTTAATTAATGTTTAATTTTTTAATTGCTCACACCTGCACACATTTCCCCCAATAGGAAAGAAGACCTAATTTCAACCCAGGGTGATAAGAGTTGGGATTTTCTTTCATGAATCTCTAAGTGATCACAACTTGTCTACATTCTCAGGTACTTAATAACATAATACAATCAAGAAAAGTGCATGATCAGGAACTGGACATAGGGGAAATTAGTGTGGGGACCAAAGGAGGTGATGGATCAGCATCTCTTCTGGAGGGCAAAGCACTGCATCTGGGAAAAGGTAGCACAGATAGGTGAAATGATTAGCATTAAGAGAGTTGTACATGCTGGTTTTATTAGCTTGGAGCTATCAACCAAGGATAGTATGGAAGACATAGAATGCTGTATGCTGACAGAGTCAGGAGCATAAGCTAAAAATCCAGACTGCTTGGGTGGGACTCTTGGCTCATTTACTTACTAGCTCTGTGACATTGGTCAAGTCCTCATGTATTCTAATATAAGCTGGAAATGATAATGGGTACATCTATGGGTTACTGGAATGACTAAGTTAATATACAAATTGTGCACAAATAGTGCTTAGTATATAATGAAACTTGTACAAACTCTTAGGTGTTTCTGTTCTTGTTTTTGTTATTGCTGTACATGGTGGTTTTCATCATTGGCTCTGTTGTTTATTGTTTCCTTTATTTTGTTGTTAAAGTATTATATGCTACAGATTTAGAGGTGATGACAGCCACCTTAACTGGATCCTTTGCATGACATCTTGGAATATTAGCACCAAATGGCTAGAAATATTCTTTTCTAGCTATCTTCTCAGATATCAAATTGGAGGTAGCATGCTAGAAGCCACTTTGACTTATTCCTCTTAAAGCAAAAGTGTTACACTGTGTGTACATTTCAGAGCTGATGACACTCCTAACTTCTCTTTCTCTACTCTTCTCTCCACTTGCATCTCATATCCTTCATCTTAAGGTCCAACCTCTTGATTTTTTTATCCTCTTAGCATTAACATTTGTTATCATTAGAAGGTAAATCCAGGGAGCCAGGGCTCCAGTCTGGACAGAAACACTGTTTTTCCTTTAAGCAATATGGATAACTTACCTGTAGGTTGCAAAGAGATTTCATTAATAAAACATTCTTTGAATCTGCCATATAAAATGCATTTGGAAGGGTGAACCGTAGTCACAATGCCAACTGTGGAAAAAGAGTCATCCATGGAAAGGAGAGAACAAACACAGAGATGCATTATGTGGGGAAATACTTCACAGCCGAAGGATAAGATCAGTGCTTGTGTAATTGTGCTGTCCAACAGAAGTACTCTACTAACAACATGTGCCATTTTGTTTTTTTCTGGTTCAACATAAAAAATAAAATACAAGTAAAATCCTTTTTGGTGAGTCACTGTTTTAACACATTGTATCCAGAATAGTATTATATTAACCTATAATGTAAAGAAGTTAAAAGAATTCATTCACATTCTGTTTTTCTGGTACTAAGTCTTTGAAATCTGGTTTGTATTTCATGCTTCCGGTTCATCCCAGTCTGAACCAGCCATGATCTAGATGATCAGTAGTGACATACGGCCAGTGCTGCTCTGTAGACTAAGCAGAACTCACCTGTGGTAAGGGTGGGAGAAAAGAGAGATACAGGCTAAAGGAGGTGAAAGAGGGTTTTGCTAACCACAGTAAAGCTGATATGAGGGCTGACAAAAGATTTCTCTTTTAAAGACAGCAGAAACCAATTTGTCAGCTATAACTAGGCTTCTTGCTGCAACATGAGAAGTTCTATAGGAATTTTTCCTCCTTCCTTATCCAGGGGATAGCACACAGCTGCACTTTAACCAAATCCTTTGAAAGGAAGAAAAGTGCCATCCAACTGTTTAGAATGTAATTATTTAGGAATTTGCTGAAAGGGCCTACAGAGTAAAACTAGAGAAGGAAAAACCAACGCAGCCCTAGTGCACCATCCTTCTGTCTCATGGACTGTACTTTTACTCAGAAGAGAAGCTCCCTGCCTCAGAATAAGTGGGCTCATTCCATGCACATCTGAGCTCACAACATAATTGAACAGTGGGGTCCCCGGATAGCATCCTGGATGAATCTAAGGAACATCTGGGTTGGCTTTCCTTCCACCAGCCACGTTTGGTCACAGAAACATGTGGAAGTGATTCAGATATCAAGTGATACCCCCAACACCCAGTTTTACCAATGAAAATAAATAATAATTATACCTCAGTTCATTTTGTCATTCACCAGAAGTCTGGCATGTCAGATGTGCTTATTAAATATTTGCTTGAAAGAACTGGTAGATAAAGGAGCAATTCCTTTCTGGGCAACAACAACAAACTCCCTGTTAGAAGAGTCGCTGTATCAGTGGTAATATAGAAATAAACACAGTACAATCCCCTCTTACACTTTCTTGAGCTTAATGGCTTCAGAACATCTGGATGGACTTTATAGATGTCCTATCCTATCCACCTTAGAAGGTAAGTCCTTGAAGGGAAATCAGAGCCATGCACTTCTGAGCTCAGGCCTGGCAGTGAACACCAAGTTGCCATTCCACAATAGATCCAGCACCTTCCTGTCAGAGGCAGAAGGAAGCAGTGGACTCCCCTAAGGCACCATGTAGTGCTACCTAAAGAGGTAGCCTCTCAGCTGCCAGCTGAAGGAGAAGGATGAGCTGAAAAACTCAAGGGCAGCAAGAAAAGTATGTTGGGCAGAAGAAAATTTTGATATGATAAATTTATATTATTTTGCTCCTGCATTCTGATTAGCCATCTCTAAGGATACGGTATATGTGAAAGTGTTCAGAAATGTATAAACTCCTTTATGAATGTAAAGCATTATTATTTCATGGATTCCTTTTGAGAAAACTGAAGTTGAGTGATGGGAGAGCAGAATGAATATTTGATAGGCAGAGAAGGAGCTGTGCATTCCAGGCTCTTTCTCCAAGAAGAAACATCACCAGCGTCACAGCAAACTGCTCCCTTAGCTGCACTGCCCAGAACATGGGCACTAACTGCATTATTCAATATAAAAATAATGGCTCCCTCTCTAAAATATATGTCTCATTTACTTTCTGGGACTAGTGTTCCAGAAGAGAAGGGCTGTCCCTGTGTTTTTGTTGGACCTCCAGGCCCCAGAGCAGGGTTTTGCATAGTACAGCCAAAAACCTGTTGTCAGCAGGAGGAGGTAGGTGGAGGAGAGAAGTGGCATCCGGTGTTTATCTATCTTTAATTGATCTGCTGTTTTGGTCATGAGTAAGAACAGGTTGACCTTAAACTATACATAACCAACCCTGAAGTAGTTTGCTGTCATTTTAGACTGGATTTTTTTTTATAAAGTGGGTAGTACACAAATTATTCTCATTTATTTTTTAAAAGAGGGCGATTTCAAATTTCAACATAATAAAACAAGAAATTTGACAATTTTTTGGTGCAGCTCCAGAAGTTGCCTCTGCCAGGAGATGCTGTGTATTCTCCTAGGTGCTAGTTTGTATCCTGGCATACAGTCACATACAGCAGTGCTTAAATTTGCTCATACACTGGTCTGAATTTCTTTATGTGTTTCTGAGTATTGGAGTTTTGGAGCTTTGTCCTTATGAGAGCAACATCCGCCCTTTTTATTAACTTCCTATCATACGAAAGCCCATAATTTGTTTATACTTATATTTTACCAGTCTAATACTTCAGAAATGATTTTAAATAAACATCTTTATATGTATAATGAATATGTATTAATGCATGTGTCTAGCTTAGAGTCTTAGTACCTTCCAAATAGGGTAGTATTCTTATTATTCAATCACAGTTGGGGAGGTTTGTCTTGTTTATTTAAAAATTTGGTATAGAAAAATCTTTTTCATTCAATGTTCTTGAGTGACAGTTTCTTAGTTGACAATTCGTGACATGTAAATGTATGATGAAATCAAGTATTTCACTGAACACACATGTACACACATATGCACAGATAGTCTCTAAATATGTTTTGTATCACTGAAAAGTTTGTGCCTTGAGACTAGGAATCCTGATTCAGGGATTCCTAAGACTAGAAGCCCTAAATTACTGCCATGTGTGGGATTCCTTTCATTTCCTACTATTCATATCCTAAATCTTAGTAAGAGAATTCTGTGTATTTACATAGAGAGCAACACGTGCATCCCAAAGAAGCAGCCCTCATGCTTTGAGTTTTCCATTATCATGACTTTTATTCTTTCCCATTCTCAGGATCTCTAGCTTAACCCTGCAGATTTTAAGGAGTCAGCGTTGTTAAGAAAAATTAGGGAGGATAATTCAGAAAAGCAAACAAAATTTTAAGCTTGGACACAGACATCAGGACTGTCAGTAAGTTCTTTGTTAAATGGAAAAAAAGTGAAACAAAAGAAATTGCACTGTGGTTTTTTGGACCATTTTCTAAATCAGCATAGCCCTGCAAAGTGTTGGTCAGAGTTCGCTGCCCTATTAGGAATGGGCAGGGAAACCCTGATTTAATTGCAGCATCCATCTGGATAACAAGCTCTCACTGGGTCTTTAATGATAGAGTAGGGCTGTCGGGTGGAAATTCCCAAAGCCCACAGCATTTGAGCCTTCGCGTGGACTAAAAAGAAAAAGTGAGGAGTTGCTGTACAAGTGACTTCAGCAAGATACAAGGTCTTGCAGATCAATATCAACCAAACCATAAAGGCAGGTGATAAGCTAAGCTGTGATGAGTCAGATGGCACCTGTGGGCTCTCTCTGACAATTGTGGTAGCAAGTCCTTTATTTTGAACATCATGTAATGAAGGAATCAAAACAGAAATAGGAGACTCTTTACTTTCTCTAGGTAAAGGAGAGTATGCAATTTTGACTGCTCATCTATCTTAGTAAGGTTAGTGTTCTTTAGGAAAGAAGAAAGTATATTCATTCATAGTATAATTCCTTGCTGTGTGTGCTTATTTCATTTAATATTTATTAATAGAATATATATACATATATATGTCTTAGGATATACGTCCCTGTCTGTAAAGAATACTTTTAAGTACCATCATTTTATGTATTTTCCCAAATAGAAATCTGAATTTTACTATCTCTACCTCTGTACTGAATTCCCTGAGTAGCTGATTACAGACACATGTTCATGACCAGTCTTATCCTGAAATAGGGAGCTTTTAACCCATGGATCTGTTTGTAAGCTATGTATTTTAGAGGTAGGAGATTCTATATAGTTTAAAGGGCTCAAGGATAATTTTTAAAGCTCTTATGAATGTGATAGGCATTAGGCATTGAGAGTGATTAGCAAAAGGAGAAAACAAGGGGACATTTGATTATGTGGTTGAAAATTAAGTATTTTGACAAGAAAGTAGAACTGTCCAAATTCTCTCTCTCTCTCTCTCTCATATATATATATGTATATATGTATATATATATATATATATATATATATATATATATATATATATATTATTTTTTGGTATGGAAGAGATGGAATCTCACCATTTTGGACAACATGCCCTCATGCTTGGGATCCTTTCCCCTCAGCCTCCTAAGTGGCAGTAAAGCGCTATGTACTTATTCACATTAAACACGTACCCTGAACATAAGAGTACTATGCACACATGGATGTACTGACAAAGTGGTCTAGTTGGCAGGACATTAATAATTAATCATGTAAATAATTTTTTAAAATCCTATATTGTGGGCTGAGGATTTAGCTCAGTGGCTTAAGTGCCTGCCTGGCAAGGGCAAGGTCATGAGTTTGATTACTGGTACCAAAAACAAAACAAAACAAAAAATTCTAAATTCTGTGAAAATCAGTGTACTAGCCTGGGACTAGGACACTTAAAAATCATTCATAAATATATTATGAGGGTAAAGATAAAAAGAGAAAAAAAGGTGAGAAATAAGCTCTATAATTAAGCCAGACATTGATTTATGTTTTAATATAAACAATGACCTCTCATCCAAGGTCACCCTATCCTCAAACAGCTGATTATGGTCATGAGATTCTGTACTATAAAGACCCATCCGGGTGTCGGCCTAGAGTGTGTCACTGTGTGTGAAGACCGCTTGCCAAGGATGAATGAGTGCAGGAAAAGAAAACTTGCTTACCTGTGGCTTCAGCAAACAGGGATGTGTTTTCCAGCAAAGCCTTCCTGTAGGTAGGCAGTGTTTATCCTGGGGATTCTTTGGACAGGTCCTTGCCCAGGATAAAAACGGGACAGACACATGGCACCAGTAACTCCCATTCTTTTTTGGTAGAAAAGCACACCATTTCCCAGGGTAGCCACACAAGATTTTTGCTTACTTCTCACTGGCAAAATTCCTAGTGTGTTCCCTCCACTTGTCTTCAAGGGTCCTGAGAAAGCAAGTAGAATGCCAGAGAATAGAAGCAGACAGGCGACAAAGGGTTGAGAATGAACAGTAAATCTTAGAATTTCATTTCCAGATAAAAGAAATGAGGTTAAGGACACATTAAGTCTCCTAATTACGTAGGTGACACCATAGGTGGTGGCCAGGTTGAGATTCATTTCACTGTTGGCTTACACCAAAGACCTGCCTCTTGACCATGAAGCTTACAACTTGCAAGTTACCTTCATATTCTAATATATTCTGATTCCTTCAATCTAGCCAGGTCATATATAATTCTCATTAAAAAAAAAAAAAACTTTCTAGTTTGTCTTAGAAAGCCCTCTCTTTTTTCAGTTGATCTCTGTCCAACTTATACTCATAGAAAAAAATCTCAAAGAAAGAACTGAGACTTGACTCAGTGATTGAAAGCAGTACACCCTAGTGGATTTAAAAGCTAGTTTGTTATGTTTGAATCTCACTTCTAGCAGCAGCTAGCCTGTGATGTTGAACACATTAAGTGTCATATCTGTGTCAGGTTTTTCATATGCAATAAGAAGAATTTGGCATAACCCAGTGGCTTTCTAGATGAAGTCAGTAAGACAATACTTGTAAAGTATCTAATAATAGTATCAATCAAAGTGTTAGTTGGTAACTATTTGGGAAAGTAGTGACAAAGAAAGGAGATAAATGCAAATATAAAATAGTGGGATTGTGTGAACTAGCATGTATGCATGCATGTGTTTGTGCACGCCCGTGTGTGTGTGTGTGTGTGTGTGTGTGTGTGTGTGTGTGTATTGTGTGCGCAGTTTGGTTTGGCTGCCACACTTTGCTTTGACTACTATGAAGTGATCAGCTTTCTTCTCCTTTTTGACATTTCTACCTTGCTGCAGGCTTAAAAGCAATGGAACGGGCTGAAACATGGACTGAACCCATAAACCAAAATAAACTGCTCTCCCTCTTTTAAGTTGTTTTCCTTTGGCGTTTTGTCACCTTCATACCTTGCTGCTTTTGATTCATAATGTTTGGCTTGAAGGGTAGACCTTTGTTCATATTATAAATAGTTTTTTATACTGATAAACTAAACATTGTTTAATCCAGTTGCTGGCAATTCAGTTCCTTACTGGTTTTGTTTATTTATATATTCATCTATTTATGGTTTTGGAGATTGAACTTTAGGACTTATGCATGCTGGGCAAGCACTGTGCCACTGAGCTATGTCTCCAGGCTCAACCTTAATTTTTGTATGCAGTTCTATGGAATATATTCTTGTACCTATTCTTGTACATATTCATGACCTATTCTTGTAAGCATATCTGTAAGGCAAATTCATAGCAATGAATTTTCTGGGCTTCTGGGTTTTTGAATTGGCCACTGTTAAGAGATTATGAAATGCCTTAAAGTTTGTCGCAAAATTTCCCTTCCAATGACCAGGTGAAAGAAAAATCTCATTTTTATCTCGTTTCCCCACAATCCCAGCTTCTGCTTGTCTGAAGGGAAAAAACAAATGAGTTGTGGAAATGTGGGAAATCATGGTCTGGCAGCACAGACCAACAGAAATGTACCTGCACTGTTTTTTTCGAATTCCTGAGTATTTGTAATTGTGTAGTATTGTGTCTAGAGCTTATCACTTTCTTTTAAGTGCTAAAATGATTATTTTTATTTATATGTAATCACATCAAATAATTGTTAAAAATAATTATATTGCACAAAGACGATTCTATAAACCATGTATCATCGGAAACTTCCTTTCACTATGGACAGCTCAAATACACAGTTCATGAGACTCAAATTTACCTCTCCCCTCTCTGAATTCTGATGATGTGCTTTGGCTTTTCCTAGTTTCTGTCTCTAAGTGAGTGGCAGTGTTTTTGCCCTTCTTCAATGCTTTATCTAGACTATCTGTATGTTTTCTAAGTATTATGATTATTATTATATTTTACTTAGCATGAAATTAAAAAAGGAAGGAAGTCTCGTTTGGACAACTTCGCACATCCATACTGTTCGCCTCTTCTTCCCTGCATTACTTTCCTTGCTGTCTTTTACCACTAGAAAAGTTTGGTTTCCTGCTTTGAAATCTTTCTTGCCACCATCATTTTTGCCTTCTAATATTTAACTCTGGGATGGTTAACAGATATGCTTTCCCAGCAAATATGATATATGTTATCCCAAAGAATTTTTAAACTAAGAAAAAAAAAACAAGCAAGAAAACCTAGAGTCTCCATTTCATTACATTCTCACTGTTTTACTAAAGTTGAGCACATATTCGTTTTGAAGAACATTTCCAAAAGTGTTGTTTCTATTTCGTTGGTTGGTTTCTAACTATAAGGATTAGTAAAGGAATACATTTTGGGGTAAATGCAGTACCCCAGCAGGAAAAGGAGTAGGAACTTTGGGAGAGGGGACCTGGAGTTAAATTCAGGCTATGTCATTCATTTGCTCAGTGTGTAAGTAACTTATCTTTTGAACTACTGTCTTTAAATAATTGAAAGAGGATTTTTTGCAGGTGATAACCTTGTGCTTTTACTCACCTAAGATCTTAGCAAAAATTTGTTCTGTATAGGTTTTAAACTATAAGGGTAGTTTTCTACATTTTATTTATATTTACTTTAAATAACTGAAGCCCAAGATAACAGTTTAAAAGAATTTAACAGTCATTACTTCATAATTTAGTATAGTAAAACAAAAGTATGTCAGTGGTAATTGAATATCTTAAAAACATTCAACTTGGGAAAAGAATCACTATCTAAAATTTGGAGGTCGCTAAAGTGACCACTCAGAAAGATGAGTAGTCAAGACATGCTTTTCCAGATACAAGCTCAAATCAGGAGTGCAAACAAAATTATAGCTTGGGTTTAAAGTTATAGTATAAGGAAAGCCTGAAATTGACAACAGAATGCTTCCTTTCCCCCAAAATGAAGTGATGGAATTGTTTTTCCACAATATGATTTTCCTTGACAGGTAAAACTAAATTTACAACTTAAACTCCCAACTAGGTCACCACATTTAACCCATGAACACACAATAATGAGACAGGATCAGCACCAGTACCCAGAGGCCTGATCTTGATAGAGAGAGCCGTGATTGTGAGTTCTGCTTTAGCCGGTGCACCTAAACCCTGCACAGGACAGATAAATCAATGGGCTTTAATAGGCTTTTGTCCCCATGCAATTGGAGGACAAATGAACTAACACTTCTACAAGAGAGAATTCTTAATGGAGTTTTTTAAACATCAGAAATTATAAAAATCAAGTATCTAATATAGCACATGGAAAATAGGATGTGCTTGAAAGATCAGAGTGTTAGGCAACTCTAATTTACCCTCATTATAAATAGTATAAATTTTGAGTTATAACTTTGCTAATTCTGTCACAAATCAGATGAGGGTTCTTTTCTCAATTTGGATAGACATCATGAACTGGTAAAATGCAACTGTTTTGCTACTGGTGACTCTGGCCTTTGAGTGCCAGTGACTCTCAGTTCTTACTGTTATGGCTTTTAATGCTCCAGCTCTTGGTGATTCCAGGCCACTACTGTTAGCTCTTCAGTAGGCGATGAGACTTGTAACCCTTCTGGTGACTTTCTGAAACTCTTGGAGCAGCTTCTGCTGCCTCTTTGAAGCTATCCATAACTCATCACAGGACCTTGCTGGCCACTATTAGTCTCTATCATGTATTGCTGGTCACTGCCAGTCATCACTGTTCTCTGCCAGTCCCTGGAAATCTTTATGTCTAAACCCCTAGGTTTATCAACTTGTTTGTTTGTTTGTTTTTTCATGCAAACTCCTCAACCCACCCTGCTCAAGATAAGAATCACTTGTAGGAAATAAGATTCTCAAGCCCAGCTTTATTGAGATCTATACTATGATAGTGCTCAGAAGGGAGCCATCCTGGAGCAATCTAGAGAGCATGAGGGAGAGCTGATTACACAGAAGTGAGAGAGCCCATGTGTGCACACTTATATGCACTTTGGGGAGAACCTGTTTGAGGGGTTTCACAGTAATGTCTGAAGGAGAAGGGTTACTTGGAAGCTACAGGGAGGGGTAATCAAGAGTGGCTGCAGGCGAGGTCACCTGGAATGGGTCTTTATTCCAGGCCTGCAGGGCAGCCATGAGGCCTCTGGGAGTACCCTGCGTCTTAGGGCAATAGACTGACTGAGTGAGAAGGGGGTGCTTGCCTGAGAGTGCGCATGTTTCCTCAGAAATGGTGAGATTAAAACTGTGACTGCTACTGTTTTTCAGTAGTCTTTAGGATGCCTCCCTGTGTTGATCATCACCATTTGGCATTGGGCATTTCAGGGATATCAGCCATGGGCCCCATACCCTTTGCAATCATTGCTTCACTGAGATATGTTTCCCAGCTGCTCCTCAGAGAAAAGGCAGCAGTGCCTGGAGTTGGGAGGTGTCACAGCTGTCAGCCAAGCTGTAGTTCCTGTCACCATAGTTTACAGAGGTAGTGGGAAGACCTTGCGCTAGTTCCCCCAGGCTGCCCTAAGAGGTGAAAGGGAGGGACCTATTGTAAGGGTCATGACAGCTGCCATTGGGTCACAGCCCCTCTGGCTTTTAGAGGGAAAAGGAAGAGTTAGGCCGGTTTCTTTTTCTCTCAATCCCACCACACAGAACACACCTACATTCTTTTGCTCATTGTTTCAGCACTTCCTCTGAAGCCTACAGTCTAGTGCCTCAGAAGACCATGGATGATTTTCTAGATGACTACTTAGCAGAAATTCAGTACTCAGAATCAGCTTATTGATTGGGTGATCATTTGGCTGAAAATTCACTTCCCTTTTATCTTTCTGGTAAGGACTTTAAAACAATTAAAATTTATGTATCAGGAATGTTTGATTTCTTCCTGGATGCTACATTTTCAGTAAGGTTTCTTTATTGTGATGTGAGACATATCAACATTTTATTCTAACAATGTTTCTTGTGTCATGTTCTTCTCCAAATCACCTTTAGAAGTCTTTCTTTTTCTGTCTGTCTTTAATATGAATTCCCTCTTTTTTTTTTCCAGTTGAAATCCATGTCTGGCATCATAATTGTTCTTATTTCTGTATGATTCCCCCCTCTGCTTTCCCTCCACATGATATAGTCACCTTATTTGAAAGAAAATATGATTTACTTCCTAACATTTGATGTAAAAAGGAAATGTTTGTTTAAAATTAATGCTTTGAGCAAAGAACACTGTTTGTTTGACATGCAATATTTTAATATTTAACATACTGTGATTGTAGAACTTATGGATGAAAAATCACCTGGTATGATCTGGTCGGTTAACAATTGCCTAACGATTTGCATTCAGCTGCAATATTTTATTTGCTATAACTACTGACAAAATGGGGACTAGAAATGCAAAAATACAAAATGCTCTCAGTTTGCTTTTGTGTTTCATAATGTGGAAAAACCCTTTATTCTTGAGGGAAAGAGCATGAAAGAAGGAAAGCTAGCTTAGTCAGATTCCACCTGCATAAAGCAACTCTTTAGCAGTAAGAGTCAAACCCAGAAGAGTTTCCAGGGAGTTTGTAAGAGGTCAGGTGATGTGGACTTGGGGTTGTAACGCAGGACCCATTGTATCGTATTCAGTCTCTTACTCCAGTCTCACTGCGATTTTCCACAGTTCTTTTTCCTGTGTGCCATCTCTAGATCTGCTCTTCAGCCATTCAAGTTTCTCAGACAAAAGGTAGCAATCCACTAGGCTTTTGTTCCAAAATGCCCAATCCTGGTACTCTTTTCTCCTCCTCATTACTTGCAGTTTTGAAAGCCACAGGTTTCGATGGGATCTGGAGTCTGAGTGGAGCTCTCCAGCTGACACTTAGGCTTTGTGTGTGCAGCCAGTGGTTCCTCTTTCATTCCTTGCACTGTGAAAAATAGTCCTTCCTGCATTTAGAGATAGGAATACTCACGTTTCAAGTCCTTGGCACCTCCTCACCACGTTCATTTTCAGTTTGAAAATTAGAAAGAATTTCATTTCAGAGATTCTGAACAGGGTTTTTACAATGCAGTTTTTCCAAGAAGTAAATAATAGAAGACATAGAAATGAGATTTTTCTTTATAATTAAATTAAACAAGAACTCTCCAATCAAAACAAAACATTAATTTTTACATCATACTTGGGGCAAAAACTAGTCCTACATTTGTAAAATTTGAAAATGACTAAGACACTTAATGTTGAATTCTTATAGTCCAAAATGTCATTTTTCTCCTAATAAACTTCTTTCTTCCCAAATATCATTCAGGTTTCATCTCACTTAGTCAAATTTCATAGAATACTTTTAGGATAAACTGTGAAAAATCATTTACTAAAGCAGTCAATATGTATTCCAGGACTTCTGCCCATAAAGTAGTTAATGGGAAAAAAAAATTAATCTTTTCATAAACCGTGTTGTCAGAATTTGAGAAAACTTCTGAGCAGTTTATTTGTATTAAATGATACATGGTAAAAGGGTAGTTTTCTCCATAAAGCAATAATGCCAAATTTAGTGATCCTTAAATCAGTCCCCAAATTGTTTTTATGATTTAAATTCATTTTCAACTTGATTTTTATGTAGCTATAAAGCTTATTTTTGAGTTGAAAAATCTCTTTTGAGACAAACATTCTTCATATAACATGGATTTCAGCAACTGTTTTAAAATTCTAATTATATTTTCTAGTGTGTTCTTATTTTTTATGGTTCTAGAGGTAGAGAGTTTCATTAGGGCTAATAGCGTCACTTGTCTGTTGCGGTATTTCTTCCAGTAATAAAGAATTCGGTCACTACTCATTTTTTCACATGCACCTAGGCATAGGAAAAGAAAAGGAAAATGTGGAATAGGTGCACTATAACACCTATGAATTAAATGTGCTTTTTATGGATGGTATATGATGTGGCCTAGGACGACCTGTTGAAATTAGACTATTTTAGATTTAACAAATGAATAGCAAAGTTTTATGAAGGGAAGGAAAATGTATTGCAGAACCACATAGAATCTTGTCCTTGAAGTGGAAAGCCAACAAGAAATTAGGAAGATCCAGGAAGCCCTCATGAGACTCGTGGTCTCAGAAAATCTCTACTGTTTTCTGCTTCATGCCTGAGTTTGTTTTTCTGGTTTCAGTGCCTTCAAATGACTGGCTTGGACTGGACTACTCTGGTTTCCACCATGAGCTCTTCACGTCGGGTCTGGTCATTTGATCTTAGTTATCCAATTTCTAAGAGCAATTAAAAACTTCTGTTGTAATTTATCCAGCATATCCAACACTGTGTTTCTTATTGCGAGGGGGCTTTGCAAATCTATCATATTCTTTTGTCCCTCTTAGAACTGGAACCATCCTCAGAATCTTTTTTAAAGTTGTGTTGTTAGTTTTTTGTCTGTGGTTCACATGTTTGATGCAGATAACCATTTAGGTCTCTTTAAAACTAACAAAAACTTAATCAAAGAAAAGAGCTTTGCAATCAGGGAATATGTGGCTTCCAAGATACATTTGTTTATGGTGCAAAGGTATACATAACGTAACATTTACCATCCTATCCATTTTTCATTTGACATTGAATACTTTCATGAAAGGTTAAACATTACCACTGTCAGTTTTCTAGCTTTCTGTCATCCCTAATAGAATCTCTATACCCAGCACCTGGAAACTGCCCAATTCCTCCTTATCCTAGGTCCTCCCAACTTCTTTTGTGATCCCTTGCTAATGATGGCTATTATAGAGACCGCATAAGTGGAATCGTATAGTACTACATCCTTTTATGTCTGGCTTATTTCTCTTTGAGTCATGTTTTCAAGATTCTCCCATGTTGTAATGTATTGTGATTTTATTTCTTTTTGAGGGTAAATAATATTTCATAGTATGAACATATACATTTTGTTTATAGAGAGAAAAGCATTTAAAGCCTGGCTTTCTAGGAGAGAAAAGTTACGTCAGTATTGCTTCTTGGCATGGAAAGGTCTGAAGCAACTGACCAGGCAGTCTCCTTATAGATCTTATTCATATTCCATTTTCAAGCAGTGTGACTCTTGGAATTTAGGGTTTTTATTTTCAATCCCTAATATTCTTCTTTGCTATCAGTTGTATGGACACAATAATACCTCTTAAAATATGTTCCAAGATTTATATGAAAGAATACATAGGATGGTAGATACATGGTGTTAAGAAAGTAAATCCTATTTCCTCCCTTATTTCCCATTCTCTCACCCAGGAACTTCCACCCATGATAAAGAATGAAGAAAAATACAGTATTGGGTGTGGTTCTCTGTAGTATAGTGGGGTTAGGAGCCCTGAGTCCCTGTCATTCTGGTGTGGCAAGATCCTCAGACCAGGAATACAGGCCTAGGGCATCTTTACCCCCATCTGTCCTATATCCTGGGGGTGGCTGACCTCTTATATCTAATGAATCTCATTAGAGGACAGAAAATACGCTGTTCTCTCTACTATGCTTTTCCACAGTGAATATGTCTGCCTTTTTTTCAAACTACTTTTGCTGTTTCCCATGAAAAAGTCTCTTTTATTTTGATAAAAAGCAGTTTCTGTCTTCCTGCCATTCCAGCAAAGACTCTTTGAGAAATACTTACGCTTTTCTGGTATGAGAGTGTAAAATCTGTATGACATGGAGACTGGTAGTGGCATAATTTCAGCAGGTGGCCAGAAGGCTGGCTGGAAATGCACCTTCCTCATCCTGAATTTGAATAAAAAGTGAATAGTTGGCATCTCACTACTGGCTGAGGGGCATGTCAAGGTTAGCGGTGCATGGAGGAACTCTGGAGGCTTTCTGTACTGCATGCAAGCAGTACCATTGTGACAGGCAGTGGGCAGAGCCAAAGAGAGCACTGGAATCTCCTTCTTCCCAGGCTCCTCTCCAATTTATTAAATGGTTGTTTCCAGGCAGAAAACCGTTAGTGTCAAATAAATCCATGGTAATAAAACCAGAGTCAAACAAAATTTTCTACTTTACTTCAAAATTTCTGTCTAAGAACACACCTTCCCAAAGGGTGACAGTTGTCAAGGGGGACAATCTTGAGTGCTTTATGGAGGACAATGAATAGAACTTTTACATGGAGTGACCTTTTTCAGACCCTAAGACTGGTGTTTCTCTTTAAGAATTCAGACCTTATCCAACATATATTTTCTGAGTCCTTGGAAGCTACTATTTCAGCATCTTCAAAGCTGCTTCACGGAGGGCTGTAGTACATGGCAGTGAATTGGTATAAGCTTATGCATCAGGTTTGAGTTGGACTTCTTGCTCCTAGGAGCACTAGCTGTGTGAGTTTGAGCTGATCATTTAACTTGTCTGAGCAAAAGTTGCTCCCTCATGAAATGATAACAAACCTGCACCTTCAGCATGCTGGCCTCCGAGTCTGATATAAATAAGAGTGCTTGCTAAATACTTTACATCGTGTTTACCATGCAGCAAGCACCCAGAAACTGTTGGTTCCTTCTCCTCTGCCATTCCATTTTGTAGTATACTTTTTTGGTGGTACAAATATTAAGACACTTAGGTTCTGGGCTGAACTACTTTTATGACACAGGAATTAACTAGAAGCCTCAGGGGTGAATCTGAGAATCAGAGGAAGAAAGCCATTTGTCCACTGGCATCTTTTTATGTTTCTCTAGTTAAAGGCTTCCCTAGTAGAGCTTTTCTCCACATCCCCATGTGTTGCATAGTGTTTGACAGGCATTCTTGTATGTGCCAACATATGGAGAAAGTGACAAGGAGAGAATGGATCCTTTCAATACCCTCTGCCCTAGCCTAATCTTGTGTTGGAACATTTCCCCATTTAGGGAGACAGGTGTGCTGCATAGTCATGCTTTTTCTGTCAATCAAAAAAAGCTTTAAAGGTGTGGAGTGAAGCTTGGAGGCTATTCTGATGGATGGGCATCATCTCTTCCAGGGCTGGGGCACCTATGGCACCTGCACCACTGCAAGCTATTTGTGTCATTGAAAGTTCTAAGGTTCACCACCACAAGAATCTGTTCTTTTTAATTCTTCATAAAATCATATAGTGACAGGATGTTTATTTTTCTTACGTTGAAGTGCTTTCTTCTCTTGTCAAAGACAGACAGACAGACAGACAGACACATGGGCGCATGTTATTCTGCCTCAACATCAGTGGGATTTTAACATTTTAAGAAGATATTCCTACTCTATTGGTTCTGTTTTGAGAGAAATAAGCAAAACCACAAATTTCTCACCAGTGAAAAGCAATGAGCTGGCATTATTGTTGGGGAGGCTAAGGATGGAATTTAAATGTTTGTGCACAAAGACTGAGCATAAAAGGAGATCTGAAGGTACCAACAATAGTAACAACCACCACTAACAAAAGGCAGGCAAAGGAAAATAATACAGGCTGTCAAGATACTGAATGCTCTTCCTCCTTTCATCATTAGGTAAGAATGCATCTCTGCATTATTTCAAAACCAAGCCACTCTTGAGCAGTGTTGCCTGGGGCAGAGAAAGGGTGGGCATATCAGGGCTGAGTCCTTTTTTTAAGTAGCAGCATCACAAAGTGCATTTTCATTTCTTCATCCATTTGTCAATATAAACTGATTTTTTCCTATCTGACCATAATAAATCATTTACTGTGCAGATATGTTCTGAGTTTTCTATCATTTTTTTAAGTTTGCCACTAATTTTGTATTCAGTAACCTTTCTTTTTCTGTTTTTGTATATACTACTTCTTTCCAATAATTGTTTGCAAACTTGTCATTTGGTTCTAAAAAGAAATTTGAATCAAATCCAAAGCTTACTAAATTCTATGATTAAAAAAATCTAAATATTCATATGTAGAGTTATTATCAAATTAAGCTTACTTTATGGCTTTACTAAGTATAAATTTGGAAATTTTCTCAGTGATTCAAGCTTTAAATGTGTTCTCCTCTCAGATATGCACAGCCCCCACTAATCCTCTAAAAACACAGGGCATATGGTTTGCAACCAGTGTGTATGAAATGCCTACTTTGAGTACTGTTGTGGGTAGATTTGTACCAGGTAAATATATTGAAGGAGACTTCATATGTGTATATGTGTACACATGTTTTTAAGAAAGCCATTTCTTAACTGAACATTTGGGACTGAATTAACCATTATTACTCTCCTACTATCTTGTTTTTACTCTTTAAAATAATCTTTTTTAAAAGATTGTATTAGGAAAAGATTGGAGTCGATGAAATGATGGTTGAAAGAAATGATGTAGGGAACTAAAATACAGCCTACATGACTTAGTGTGACTTAGATATAACTGGTAACAAACCAAAAAACAGGGAAGCGATCCTCAAATGTTGGCTCAATGTTTTCCCCACTCTTCATATACTTTCAGAGAGTTTTGATATGGCATTATATTAGATAAAGTTTTACCTTCCTTCCACCTTACGGCCTCTCCTCTTTCCTTAAGCATGGGTGGAGATTTCCCTGATGGCCAATGTCTTCTACATTAACCATCTCCCATGTTGAGAAATGAAACCGTGGGCAGGCAGATTGTGTGATTTAGACACTAGAGAGAATGCTGACATGGAAATCTCATTATTTGATAAGAATTTTTGGGGGGCGCATATGTGACAGGCAGAATGCTGAGTGTTAATGATAAAAATGTGCAGAAGGAAGACAAAGTGCTTGACATAATAGTGAAGATAGCAGTGAAATTTCATGAAATAATTGCAGATGGCATATGTATTGTACTAATAATTAGGGTAGCTTATTTAGATGGTTAGAGGAGATCTTCCAAGAATGTGGCAACTAAAGATGAAAAGGAGACAGCCACATTAACAATGGAGAGAGGAAAAACATTGCAAGCACAGAGAAAATGTGGAGTCCAAGTCACTGAGGTTGGAGAGCTGGGCTTGTCCACATCCTCACAGAAAGTCACGAGCATAAAGCGCGGGAATCAGGTAAAGGCTGGGCTAAGATGCATTGGGATGCAGGTTGAAGTAAGGTTGCACGGGGATTGTATTCCAGATATTGGATTAAATTGTAAGTGTCTGGGATTGTCAGACTTCAACAAATAAAAATGTAGGATACTCAGTAAACTTTGACTTTCTGATAAATGATGAATTCTTTATTAGTATAATTATGACCCCAGATTCTCCAAAATCCAAAACTTTTGAGTGCTGACATGCTGCCAAAACTGGAACATTGCACACTATGAAATTTTGTTTAACGCACAAAATTATTAAATATATTGTACAAAATTATGTTCTTGGGCTATGTGTAGGAGGTGTATATGAAATATAAATGAATTTTGTGTTTAGACTTCAACCCTATCCCCAAGATATCTCATTATACACATGCAAATGTTCCAAAATCTGAAACACTTCTAGTCTCAAGCATTTTGCATAAGAGATACTCAATGTGTTTTGCATGAGGTATACTTACAGATTTAAAAAAACAAAACAAAACAAAACAACTTGCTTATCTGAAAGTTAAGCTATACTGATGCTTTGTATTTTTTCTGGCAATCCTAGATGGAGAATTACTGGAGGCTGTGTGGGTGAAGTACTGTGATCTGACTCATGTTTTGAAAAATCATGTGGCTTTGTTTCCTCACTGCCTGTTTCAGCTGCTACTTTTTGATCCCCAGGAGAAGCACAAGAGGGACTCTAGTGATTTCCCAGTGTTAAGGATGGAGTGGTTTCCAGGAGTCTTTGTTTTCCTTCCTATTGTTTTTAGATGAGTTGTTAACTGTAAAATTAAAAACTTAAAACAAATTAAATTTAATGGAGTTTAGGCGAGCAAAGAACAATTTACAAATCCGGCAATTCTCAGAACCAGAAGAGGTTCAGAGAGCTCTGCTTCACAGTGCAAAATGAGCTGCCGCATTGATAGACAGCATCTGGAAGTCAGGTACAGAAATAGCTTAATTGATTATGGCTCAGTCTGCCTTTTTGGGCATGGTCTGATCAGTGGATAACCTATCATTGGCTGGATTGTGGCTGCTGTGATTGGCCGAGTCTCAGGTAGTTGTCAGGAAAGATGACTCTTACATTAGATTTTTGGTTTCTTTACACACTGTTAGGTTGCATAGAAATTTAAGTTAGAAGCCTCTGAGAAATTTGATTCCATACTACTCATCTTTTAAGGTTCAGCCTAAACAGAGTTCCTACCGAGAAACCCATCCGTCCTACTTGGCACCCCTCTCTTATACAATTCCAATTCCCCCTTCCTTGAGCAGAGAATTCATGCCATGTACCATGGTTGCTTGTCAGTTGTCCTTTACCAGTCTCAGAACCTGCTGAGGGTACCAAGTTTGTCTCTTCCCTTGTCAGTTGCCTGGCATCTAGCTCAGAGTCTGAAACAATGGACACACTGAATGAAGTAAGTAATTCAGAGCTCTTTAGCCTAATTTCTCAGCCAATGAGTCACAGTGTCTTCTCTGAGTCAAACTTATGAAGTGTCAGTTGTTAAAGAGTTTATTTATTGAGCACATCAAGCTGTCAAGTATTATGAAAAATCTCGGAGACATCTGAATCTAGGTCAGTGTCCTTAAAGAGCTTATGTGCTAGTTGGAGAGTATGAGATAACACATAAAAGTGAGGAAAGCCCTTGGAAATGTAATTAAGTATTTGAAGATCTGATCAGTTATGAGACTCAGTGATCCTTAACCTGGATTCCATGGCCTGACTGCATAAGGACACATGAAAGGGCTTGGAGGAGAGGTCTATGACCCCCAGAAATTACATTCACAG